CGCGACCGACGTCCGCAGCTTTCCCGCTGCAGCCCGACACTGAGACGTAGCAACCGAGTGACCGAGCTTCGTTGGAACTTTCGATTAGAATTGAATAAAGGCCAAATCTATCTGCCCATTAGATTGTGGTGTTCAGACGAATTACATCAACGGTATTCTACATCATCTCTGAGTCGGCAAAAATTTTAAGAGGTAATGTCCATATCCTAACTATAGATTCTGCTGCGTTAGGATTTATTTCGATAAGTTCAATACTGTGCATGTTGTTTGACGTTCCTCATAGAACCCAACAACTGGTATCAGAGCTCAGGTTTAGTTCAACCTCGTGCACAGTTTGAATTTGGACTTTGCATGTTTACATAAATTATGTGTGTACGGACGCAGTGGCATAGTAGATTAGAAATTGCAATAAGTTTTTGCAGGTGATTTTGAATCTGACTATTATGCTGTTTTTAAAGCCTCGGACATGTCGATGAATTTTTGGGTTGGTGAATGCTTGTAATAAATTATTCACACAGTGGGACACCGCATAGTTTATTTCTTTCATAGAAACTCATGTATGGCTCCTGCGTGGGTCATAGGATGAATTATGTAATTATTGTTTATATTATTCGTTATTGATCCGGCGGGCGTGAACCAACCTTGACGGGGCAAGGCGATAAAAACGTACACGGATGCCATGGTGATGATCCAATGACGACTTTCCTGGAGACAACCAATTCAGTGGGAGTCACTGCGAAAGTGGAGATCCAATACCTGAAACGGAGGACACACTCAACAAGGTCAAGACTGTGTTTTCTCCGTAACATTGGAGATTGATTAATGGCCATGATAGTTGGATTATAGTTCCTAGTTTATTATTGCTCATTAATCATGCATGTTTTATGTGATTGCCTATGTGCGAATACAAACATGTTAAGAAAATCCCATAAAATAAAAATTATATTAAGTGTGTAATGGGTTGAAATAAATTACATCCAAGGCCTCCATTATAGTTTTGTCAGTGAAGTGATTTAATTCGAGCCCAAAGGACGTTTTATTTCACAGTTCACAAGGACGAATATCCTTCGGGATGGTTATAGTGAGCTATTTCAAAAGCGTACGGGTCACCCAAATGTGGACGTATAATTTTGGTAGTAAACTTAGTATCAATTAATGGGTTACTCTTAAAGTGCAAATAATTACGATTGTCCCAAAGGACAAGGTCGTTTTTATTCTTTTATAAAGTTAATTGCGCTGGCCAAAAGATGAAACCGACTATTAGTTAAGTACTGCTCGGCAGTATGTTAAGCTAATGGGA